GGAACTTGTTCAAAGGAATTAGTGCAATCATCTGAACTTTGGTTTTTGCACATCACAGGGACCCCTAGGGGATTGTGGTCGTTCACGATGGTCTTCATTAATCACGACACCTCAGGTTGAAGAGCAATTTTGCACGTTAATTTTTGAATCACTCCTCAATTATGTTCAATTGTGACTCAAAAACTGCTCGTAAATTAAAGAATTCATTTTGTGGGACGTGCTCATTCCAATTTTTGCGACGCGACGTCACAATGAAAAGTTTATTTTTGGGACGTTACAAAGTCAAACGTAGGTAGAAAGGACAAAAATGCTCACACAATATGTAAATAAGAAACAAATGCGTAGAAAGAGCCGTGGGAGTCAATTTCTTGAAAAGCCTTTTGAGCTAATTCGATTCGTCTGGGCGATGAGTTCCTCGACAGTCCTGAAAGAATTCGAATTGGCCAGAGGGTAAAAGTGGTCATCTAGGCCGATACTGTTAGAAACCTGTAGCCAATTTTTCATCGAAGAGTAGCTGAAAGAAATTCATGTTTGAGAGGACGCACAGAGAGAGCCTTTTTGAGTTACCTTACCCAACTCCGTTGCGCAGCATTACATATCTAATTCCACGTTGGTTTCTAGTGGCATAAAACGTTTTAACTCTAATTCGCTGATAAAGGATCAGCGGGTAAAACCTTTGGCCGCCGTAAACAATCCCGCCTGAGGGTACGCCCCGCATTCAACTTCCGTTTAGAATCGTAGTGCAGTATTGAATGCCTATGTGGCCCTTACGATGACTTGCGGTGGCCAACCGATGTACATTTCATTGCTTCTATCCTCCCAGACGAGTCTGTTACCACTTGGCCAACCCCGAAAGGATGGAAGGCTAGACCGATATAACACCGGGATTCAAACCCGTGATCATGCGTGTGAGATGCCACTGCCACTTGCCCTTACATCGCTTCTACCCTGCTTCGCTCACAAATAGCGTCCTCGTAATCATAAAAAGAGAGTAAAATTTGAACTTCCTCTGCAGTACGAATTATTTCTGGTTTTTTAGTGTGGGGTCTGATCTAGAACGATGTCAACTCAAAAGTTGATTTCAGATAGCCACCTCGATGACTGCCGTTTTCGTCACAACGACATTTACACTGTGCAGCTTTTGTTATGTGAATATTCTACGATTTTTAATAAGAAATCGCTTTGCCCTCAGCCAGTCAGTTTATTATTTAGAATATGACTGATCAAATACAAAATCTTAATTTTTTTCAGAGCTTTAAAACGTGAACGACGCCTGTATGCACAAATGATGGGACTTTTTGTTGGTTTTGTACTTCTGTTCATTTTTTACGCTCTAATATTCAGCTTTTCACTCAATGCTGATGTGAGCGAGGTTTTTTTTTCAAAAATTTACCCAAAAATATCCTATCAATCTTCTAAGCTTCAATTTTCAAACTGGCAGCGGAGATTCACAATAACAATTTGATTTGGTTGTTTCAGAACACTCCTATATTCACAATGAGGATGATATTTCCACTGGTCAACTGTTTCTTTTCTTATATAAACCCATGGATGATGCTGATTCTTAACGTTGACATCAGAAGAAAAGTCCTGACTACGGTAGGACAGGTGGCTGCATGTGAGGTAAGCTGTTTGAAGCCAACGAGCTGAAGGGAACCCATACCATGTGAGCTCAATATGGGTGATTATCAACTGATAGGGAAATAATCAGGAGAATGAACGGATAGAATACTTGTAAATGTTTGTATCGACCGATGGTCACCTTATCGACTACCATCAAATCAATTTTCATATTTCTAGGTCTCCCTGATTATGGCAACTCCAGTGAAAGCGATGTCTGCTATCGTTCCGACACGGTTCTGATTGCTTCTACAATTGATTCTGGATTCAGACCTTCTTGGACTGCCATTATAGCCGAGGATCCAGTCGTCTTTCCCTCCTCTCGCCCTCAGATAACTAAAATATGTTGTTGTACTATTTTATGTTATTTTATTTACGTGCCTTATATTCCATATCTGCATAGGCAGTAAGAAAAGTAGCAATCTTCACTCCAAATCGATTGTCTGCCATCACCACAGAAATAGTCGATGATGATCTCGAACGATCTTGAATAAAACTTTCAATTCAAAGTGTTTTGAATTACTCTACAGTATGCTTTGTACCTGCAGTATGCTTTATAGTTGGCGGAGGCAGGTGAACGCGTATCGAAACGCACGACCTGGTATTGAGTGTGTGGTCGATACTCGCCCAAGCCATTCAAATCTTCCATTCATCCGGGGTCGCTTAGTGGGTAACAAACAAGGTAAGCCTCTTGTATACCGAGCCCAGGAGGTCTATTAGTCTAGAGAACTGTCTGGTTTCGTCTTACCTTATTATAGAATCAATTCCAATGGTTGTTCTACGTTCAAGCTCTGAAGAAGGCGAGATAGCCGAAACGTTGGCCTCATAAAGTTGTAAATCTTGGAAAGGTTGCAGTAAAAATACAGAAGATTCAAGAAATACGTTCAAAATTTGCTTAATCGGTCCACAGACTGCCAGTTTTACAAAATGCCTACCATCAGACATCCACCCACAACTTTGAATTAAGATTGATAAATTACGTATTCATATGCAAAAAATTTCAGTTGTGATTGCATTTCTGTGGCCTAATTAGTTGTTTGTCATTTACTTACAAACGAGTAATTAGCCGCATGGGGAAGTCACAACAACGGTGGCCATGTCTACAGGGGATGAATGAGAAGGTTGTCTAATAAGTTTCATAGGCTCGTCTTCATTCCAACATCTAACACTTCCCTCCTATCGCTATGGTTGACCACAGGTTTATAGTCGGTAATACAGGTTTACAGTCGATAACAAACGACTTCTGGTGAAAAAGCAGATTTAACTCTCCGTAAGTCTCCCCGAAGTCTATAGGTCTGATCTCCAGCAGCCAATTCAGTCTAATCTCCAGCCTTCCTGCAGGATCACTCCCTCCTCCTTGTCACCTTGAGCTGCTTGTCTTGTAGCACGCTTTTGTAGGGTGTTTAACCTTCTTTCATAGGAATAGGGTAGTTCTTACAATTTCTTGCTACTTTTTAGCTATAACTGGTTTATCTGCACGTTATTCTGCCCTTGATTCCCAGTCGTTCGACCCCTCGAAACTCTGTTTACATCACATTGCAACTTTTCAGGTGAACTTTTCCTAAATTTTTTCTGAACATAAATGGTACTATATTGGTCGCACTACATATTCATCGGAGTTAATGTGATTTCATTTCCACTTTATTCGCTAATTATTATTATATGTATTAAGGAATATAAGCATAATCCATCGCAGAGGGCATTTTATTTACTTTTTATTTCTCAGGTAAATAAATTATAGATCCGGAGCTTTTTCGTTTTTTAGTAGCTAAAAATTGATCGCAGAACCTCCTACCTACGTAACCCTTTTAATTCAATCCATTTTCGAACGAATGTTTGGGAAGGCACCCGAACGGTGTTTTTTTTCGGAATTCCTCGTGGGTGGAGGACAACGTCGCCCATGCTTCAGTAGTACATGGGTACCAAAAGAATCCATATCAACCCCTCCCCTACTTAGTTTTTCCCGCTAAACAGAATGTTTCATGGTGGGCGGCTTGACTGATCGAGAATCCCTACCGAAGCTTACTATAAACGCCGACAGAAATCTACGTAACCCACGACTGTATTCAAATACCTAAGGAATTTCCCTATGCTTTTAAGGAAGTTATGGTTACAAATTCATATTTTTTGAGGGTCTAATGGACACTTTACTGATGGCGAGCTATTTTATTTTTGGAATATTACGGCTATCAGAACTGCTCAACAGTTTCTTCTGGACCTACAAGGACTACTACGTTGCCGCATGGTGTTTCAATCAGACATATGTGTCAGCAATATTTCGATGTTTTGGCGTACTTGTAATATCATTCCAAAAATATATATCTTTATGCAAAAATGAAGACCGAATTCTGCAGGTAGCCTTTTTCAGCGATTCGATTCACTTTCACAGAGCAAAAATCCATTTACAGCTTTTTAACAACTCATACCGTTGGATATCGGTTATTGTGCAATGGACCGTTCCAATGCTCTATTCAATTCCACTTCTTCTATTCAGCGATGCAACTTTCAAGGGCTTAGAAAATATGGAAGTATTAGTTCAACATAAAGACATCACGGTGAGTCGACTACATCGGATACGCTACCGTAGTATCCCAAGACATTCAACATGACGACTTGCCTTCGACGGCTAGGAGAACTGTTTGCTGCTAGTACGGGTTTCCTCTCTTTTCCCATCCAGTCTTCCGCAAATTGCAACTCACTACCATTTACGTGAGCCAGGCACCTTAGGACGACCATTCCAACCCACCTATGTACCTTTTCGGTGCCTCATCACAACGACCAATGATCTGCCGAGCTTGTTCGAAGGATTTAATTCGATC